AAAAAAAAAAAAAAAATACATCTTTGCCTTTCTGACTTGTGGTGTCCTCCTGCTAAAAGTAAAAACTTTTTGCGTTTTTTGTTTGTTTTGGAACCATGATTTATCTTGTTGTGTACTCGGACACAATTGTAAGTAGGGTATGTTTCACAAATTTTATTTTGCTCAAATTGCTCATCTTACTAACTGGTTAAGTTCATTTTCTGCCATAATACATGGAAATGAAGTGGACCAATTAATGATACCTAAAGAACACTCATTCAGAGATGTACTTCTAATATGGCTCGAGTAGTTAATATTTGCTGCTGAATTGAGGTTACAGTTTGTAGTTTACGCTACTAGAGATTTGAGTCTTATTTATATCTGAAATTATATTGCTAAATCAGTCTACAGTACATCATTTCAACTACATAAAATTCAACAAGAGTTTGTAATTCTATTAAATTGCATTTTTTTTTTAAGGCTTGGGTGTATCACAACCTTTCTTACAATAACAGATCTTTTGATGCATAACAAGGTTAACATTTAAATAGTTACAAGTAGTCAGTAATATTAAATATGATAGTTTACTTTTTCAATACAGAATGAAATCAGTAAATGGCCACACAGAATTTTAACTCCTTTTTGCATAAATGTCATTACTTTGTTCCTTCCACCACTCTGATTTCTCTGAAATAGGCCGCTCCTTTAATTGTGGCCCAGTCATCTTGAAGCTTACAGGATATATACAATGGATCAGTTTGCCCAGAAACATTTTTTAATTTAGACCACATTCCTTTTTTAGGTAGTCGAAGGTCAAACATTACAGACAATGCATATATTGTGAACTTTGGTGTCTGTCCGAGCTTTTGTCTGTTTCGCATTTGAAATGCAGGCAAAGCTCAACATTCACTTTTGAAATGATGGGAGAATAGGCATGAATAATGTTAATGCCAAATTTTATTTCACAAACAGGATATTTTACACTAAATAGTTAGAAATTAATTACACTATCATTCACATTTGGAAATGTGCCATAACTTAAAGATTAAAATGTTGATTTACTGTATGTTATTGTTGATTGACTCAACAATTACTTTTTGTGGTGGGTGGTATAAGTAGCTCAGAGCTTTGGCTTTGAGTGAAACCAATAGTACAACACAATTAATCTTTTTAAAGTCCATGAAATAAATTAATTTAACAGATTGACTTGAACTTTTCCCATCACTGAGGTACTTTTGCTTTTTCTCTTGTATTTCCATCAATCCAAATGAAACTTGGCACAAAAATGTCTTTTAACAACCCTCATAGACTAAATAGGCGGACTTGTGTTTTTCTTGAGATTTTACAGGGGGCAAAATTCACAATAATTTACAGACCTAGGGTATTGGTCTACCATTCATCTATACTTTGACCAATCTAAATGAGACTTTGCACAAAGATATCTTGCAACAACCTCTACGTATTGAAATGGACAGATTTAGAATTTGTGGTTTTTTTATACTTACTAGAAAAATAATAATCAAAATATAAATATTACAAGTGGTTATTAGTAGTATTTTGTTCAAAGAAAGAACATATAGTGTTTGTATACTTTAGTATACTTTCATTTAATTTTTCATCAGATTTTAGGAAACCAGTATTACATATGAAATGAATATTAAAAAGAGAGTTTAAAATTAAAATAAATAGAAAAACTTTTACTGATGGACACTAACATATGCTATAAAAACACAGTGTCTGATCAGTTCTATATGCAGATGCATTTTCTTATTTAAGGCAAGTGAACTGGAAATCCTACAGGCTGTACTTCGATGGGGTGAAGTTCAATTATCCAAACAGAGTGGAGACAGAGGTATTTGATCATAAGTTAAAATTAATATCTTAAATGGCCTCCTTTTTTTAATACAAGACACTTATGGAGAAGAAAACATTGTATTTGACAATTTAAAGTTAGTTAGTTGCTTCTTAAGTGTGTGCAAGTAGTATTATAACCTGCTGTTGGAGTTTCGTTTTTCACTATTTCTCTAGTTTATTCTTTAAGTGAGTTGTTGCAAATTTGTCATATCAAAATGCTTTTAATATAAAAAGGTTTAATTTTTTTAGTTGTCAAAATTGGTAGTGTTACTTAGTGATGAGAATGTTGTTTAGAAGAAAGGCAATTTGTGTGTAACTGAGAGTTGAATTACAAGTTATATGTTTGTCCTCATTGAATGATCCACGAAGGATCATTATTTGTTATCTTCAGTATATCTTCAGATATCTTCAGTAATCAATTATTTTATAGCACAGCAAATTATAATAAAATCTGAATTACCCATTCTACTGATTTTTGTTTATGAACCATTTTTTTAATTTTTTAACATGATTATGCACAGAAAAATTATAAGTTAACTTTAGAATATATATTACTTTAATAAAAGATTATTTTAGTTTAAAATGTTGATTAACAGAAAGATAAGTTTAAGAACTGTAGCTATGAAAGTTGAATGGTTACTGCACATTATGAAATGTAACAACTAAGTAAACCTGCATTTTATTTTTTATTTAATATACTGTTTTTAAGTTGAAGATTAATAATACTTTACACAAAGTAAATCTGTAATGACACGTTTAAAAATTGTAGTAACTTTAACTTTTACAAGTTATTATTACACATTTAAACACATTGAACTTTTAACTGTATAGTCACCAATGAATTTGGCAACCACTTAACTACATGTAGCCAAGCCTCACTTTTAAAACCTGTATAATAATCTTTATTTCAGTAAAGTACTTTCTGTACATTGACAAATTTGGCCTTTGATTTAAAGGCTGGCAGCTGCAGATGTTGCTGGGAGGCCTGATAGCAATAAAAAGTGTTCCTATTTTTATGCTATAGGACTGATGAACCAACATTGTTCATCTTTACATTGTAATAGTCATTTAGGTCAAATTCAAGAAAACATTAGACTTCATTACACACTTTTATTGAAAATGACCAAACTCCTGAAAAATGGTGTATTTACTAAAATAGAGCATTAAATAACAAACTGTCTTATACACAACTTCTATTGGCTTTATTTCTTTATATATATATAGAGAGAAAAATATAGCAATCTTTTTTTTCTTATATGTAAATTTTAAGCTTCAGAGATGTTACTTTAATACATACTAATCTAAATGTTAATTTTTAAAACACTTGTATGTGCTTATATATACTATATGTGTGCTCATGTGAGAGTTACGTGAGTGATTTTACAGGCATTATAAAGTATTTCAAATTCTGGAATTGTTATTACTTTTCACTTTGAAACTTCTAAAGTTGGTTTATACCAATGATTTTTAAATATGTTCTGGATATTATTTTTAACCTTACACGTACATCATTGTCAGCTGGAACTATTTAAATGATAATAATGTATTTTTCTTGAAAGGTAATTTTGAACTAATTTTAAACACGAATAAAGTCTTTAAGAAATATAACAATTTCAAAGTTATTTTATCTTTTTTAGAACCATCAGTAACACCACAATCAGTGTACATGGTTGGTCGAAGAGGACCCAGACGAAGGGACTTGTGTGTTGCTGAGCTGAGGGATATAATCTCTGATCTGATATGTTTTGTAAGAGTTGATCATATTGTACCACCAGATAGTGAACTGTTAACCAATGCTGTGAAACGAGGTTTATTTAGATCCCCTCCATCATGTATGCTTGATGATGATCACTTACAGGGCAGTGGTGTCTATCATAAAATAGCATCTTGGATTCATGGAAGAAAGGGTAGTCCACTGAGCATTCCGAGGCTGTTTTTGCCATATGTGGAAGAGGCACGGGTAAAGTTTTAATTAATGATATTTTTTATGTTATTTTGTACTATATTTTGTAGACCCTACAAATCTATAATAAGGAAACTAAAATTAGTAATATCTTAAAATGGTTTTAGTTTTGGAATTGAACATTTTTTATGTTTCAAGTCAGTATAATCATATGAAAAATAATGCAAGTTATTTCTGTATTATTTGTTTCAGAACTTTGATATAAAAACAGACTGTCCTTCTGTTTTGGAGACAAACAGTTTTTTATCTATAGTAGAATGTTCTTACTTCCACGTAACAGTAACTATGAAAGAATTATTTTTATTGGTTCCTGAATTGAACAATGTTACTTCTAGGTAATGTACCCATATATAACTGACTAAATTATGTTTCACAAAAACATATTTTTCATGCAGTATAGACCTATTTAAGTCAGAAATTCAAAAAAAAAACATTTTTTCTACCATATTCTCACAATGTGTAAAATAGAGGGTTGAACATTGTTGTGTACATTATTTTTCATATTACTATTACTTGTTTTAAATCCACACAAATATTATTATTTTAGATAATCCATTTAGAACAATTAATCCATTTGGAAGATACTAGTTCTGAATTATTTGATAGGCATGGCTTGATGAGCATTCAGCCCGTGATTTGGAATCATGGACTCCATCTCACAGCTCTGAAGGTCAGTCTACTGGGGATAAAGCCTCTCTGTACCAGAGCAGAAGTTCTGCTTTCAACACAAGAGATTCGGCAGAAGGTATTGAGTTTTTGGATGGAAACATTCCAGGTTTGTTTTGAATTTTGTATTTCCTACAACTTTATGAGTTACATATTTTTTTAAATGAAAAGATGTTGTAAGCTGGGCCTGGCATGGCCAGGTGGTTAGGGTGCTTAACTTGCAATCTGAGGGTTGCTGGTTTGAATCCCTGTCCCACCAAACATACTCGTCCTTTCAGCCGTGGGGTGTTATAATATGACAGTCAATCCCACTATTCATTGATAAAAAAGTAGCCCAAGAATTGGCAGGTGGTGGTGATGACTAGCTGCCTTCCCTCTAGTCTTTCACTGCTAAACTAGAGATGGCTAGCGCAGGTAGATCTCCTGTAGCTTTGCTCGAAATGCAAAAACAAACAGTGTTATAAGCATAAAAAATTGAACAAGTTTTCAAATGATAAAAGCAAAACTAGTGCTATGATTTTTTAATTGTGTAATTAAACTGTAAAGGATGAAAATATAAACATAGCATGCTAATGATTTTATATATTATCTCATCTCTTAACCCTCTTGCTACAAGCTTGGTGGATGACCTCATGACTCCAAAATGACCATCAAAACATTCATACTATAAGTTTTAGTATGTCTTGTGTATCTTTATTATGAGTTTTTTATACAGTAAATCAGGATTTTTAATAAGGTATTTTTACTAAACATTTGTCAGTGAATATATGAAATCAGAGAGTTGATTGCTTTGAGTGCAAAATGATTTTTCATGTTAAGATTAAAAATACTTTTCTTCATCTGAAAATTTTGAAATTTCATTTGCATAATCTGTAAAAACCTTCTAACTAAACATCAAATGTTTTTTCTCAGAGAAATTACATTTTTCCTCTTATTTTCTTTACCCTAACTTTTTACATGGTTGGTCAAATCAACTGACCCCATAACCACCATAAAGAATTAGGAAATAATTTATTTTCTCTGTCTTTCTAGAATGACTTCAAATTGTAAAGGTATACATCTGTTTATAGTTAATTTTATTGCTCTCTAAACCATGTCTAACTAATTATCCCACCACACAAGTTATAAATTTCTCTGGGAATGTGCAGCTTTTTTTTCTGTATCAAATTACATAATGCATGTGCTGCTAGTGAGCATACCTCATGAAGTGTTTATTTTCATTATTTTACCTTATCTTACTTTGTATAACCTGATAAGTTGTAATTTTTACATTTTAGTTACTGTTATAATAATAGGTAGAGAATACACATGAAAAACAAGAAATATAATACTTCCCTGGGTCTTCCTATTTTGCTGTTGACTGTTGATGAAACTTCAACCTACTTTTTTATACTAATGGTACCACTACATTAAATATTTTTTCACTTAATTAAATATTACATCTTAGAACACAGAATAATAACACACATAAAACAAACAATGTCCTATAACTGTCATAATTTTTCTGGCTTTCTAACTATGTGATAAGAACCTTTAAAAATTCACCTAAGCTTGTCAATGTGATTCCCAATGGAAAAACTTTTGAACTGGAAACAGATTAGACAATTCTCTGTGCAGAAAACAGAGTAATATAATTTTTCATTTGATAGATTAAAACTGGTTTTCTATTGGTTTTGAATAATATAGTATAAAATGCCAGAGCTGTTGGCAATTTGTGAAAGAGAGGATGTGAGCATGGCAAGTGGGTGTAATTCTCTAGTTTATGGCTCTGTGAGTAAAGATTGAATACTATAAAAATTATGCTTTTCCTGAGTAATATCATTATTATAATAATTAATTTATGTTAAATCCTGGACTTCTCAGAGAAGTGGTAAATAACTTAGAGAAGAGGGAAAACCTTAGAGAGCAAATGTTACAATTCTCATACTAGGGGAGATTGAGGATTTTTTTATATATTTCCTTATGAAATGAAGAACTTGAAACTTATATAATAGTAAACTTTAATGTATTATCTACATTTTGATGCCAAGTTTATTTGTATACAATGCTAATAATGTAGTTTAATTAAATTTTGAATGTAACTCTAATAAAAAGTTGTGACATGCCTGTAGCAAATGGGAAAGTTGAGATATTATGTGAAATATTTGCTTCACTGAGAATTGGACAATGGAATTGTTGATATATATATATATATATTTTTTATCTTAACTAACCTGTTGTTATTTGTTGTTGTTGTAAAGGGCCTTAAACTTTTGAGATGTTATTGTTAATTTAATGTTATGTTGAAACTGTGTAATTCAGCACACTTGATGAAGAGTAATATCGCTGTAAGATATGATCATGAATTGCTTCAATATTTAGATTTTGGTTAATATATCTTTTACATTTCTTAATATATACATTCAGTTTCATACTCCTTATTTATTGGGCATTGACTGTATTTTATTGAGAGCTATCTTCCTGATTATGGGTGGGTATTTCTTCTTAAGTCTGTTTCCTTTGACTTCTCAATACTTCTAATGTAGGTGACTAAGCTGTAGACCATTTTCATTTTACTAATAAGGAGGAAAAGAATATCAAATGATCTTGATTCTTTTTCATGGAGCAGGAATTTAGTTCTTTGATATATGGAAAAACTTGTGACATTTAGAGGTGTTAACAGCAGCACCATTCCATTATAATTGAAGTTTAAATGGGCTAAGAGTAACTGCATATTTCACAGATCAAGCCACTATTAGCTTCATGATTGGTGGTTACTTTAAGCTTTCAAAATATAGTTTGGTTAGCTGGAGCAGTAAAGCAAAGTAAGAATTATGTTGGTGGTTGCTTTGAGCTTTCAAAGTATAGTTTGGTTAGCTAGAGCAGTAAAGTACAGTAAGAATTATGTTGATGGTTGCTTTGAGCTTTCAGAGTATAGTTTGGTTAGCTAGAGCAGTAAAGCACAGTAAGAATTATGTTGATGGTTGCTTTGAGCTTTCAAAGTATAGTTTGGTTAGCTAGAGCAGTAAAGTACAGTAAGAATTATGTTGATGGTTGCTTTGAGCTTTCAAAGTATAGTTTGGCTAGCTAGAGCAGTAAAGCACAGTAAAAATACATCTTTCTACTACATAGGCAAAAAAATAGTTATTCTTTCTCTTTCCAGGTGAAATTGTGAATTTGTTTAACAATTTTTTCTTATTGTATATAATTGTGATCAGTGTCTGATTTTGAAAAACTTTGTGATGTGGTTTTTATGAAATTCCTTATTTTTTGTCTTTCTTGTATTTGAATATCTAATGATTTTAATGAAGACCTTTTAGTTTCATTTGTTTCATCAAGAGTCTAATCAAAGTATTATTCTATTTTTCATTGGTATGAATTCTTGTGAAAATTCTTTAGCATTAAATTTTTAAAAATTTGCTTTCCTTCACAACTTTGTTTTTGTTTCATAAATGCACATCAAATGAGTTTTGCACATCTAAAATTAATGTAGAATAAGCAAATGCATATAATTCTTGTTTGAAAATTTTTACCCTGACATTCTTTTTGATATCCAAATTCTACATTTCATTGCATTTGAAGGTATTAAAAAAGGCATCTAATTACTTATTTATATGTTTATGATCTACCTTAAACTGTTCCACACAAACATATTAAACCTAGATTTGTGGCAATTGTAAGTATCAGCCTTGAACAGGCTTATAGGATGTTCAGTCTCATCCTTTGATACATTTCACGTGCAAGTTCAGTGGAACATCACATTTTCAAGAAGTTTAAAGTTTTCCTATAAATATTTTATAAGAAAGAAGTTTCCCAGTAATCAAAATCTGTGAAAAAAAAGAATATATGTTACAATTTTTGTTGTGTTTTAGTAGAGTGTAACAGGATTGAACCACTTTGTTAGTCTACAGGATTTGATCTTACTGTTTCAGATTGTTAAATCCACATTGTTAATTTGTGTGCATTTTTTGTGATCTTAATGAGTTGCATTATGCTGAATCAGTTAGTGTGTAACGTTTTGAAAATTTAACAATTAAGAGATTATAAAGTTTATTGTTTTTTATATTGAACCATTCAACAAAGTTTCTAAATTTAAAAAAGGCTGTCAAGTGATTAATGTTAACCAAATTATTTCCAGTCATATAGTATACCTCTGTGTAATATACATTGCTTTTTCTGTTGAAAATGCATTACTGCCTTTTAAATGTACAACCAACAGAATAAAAATGATCAAAAATAAATATCTTACAGCTCATCAAATTATTTTGTGGTTGGGTAAGGATTAGTTTGATAAGACTTCTTAAGTTTGAAAGTAGAACATCTTACATGTTGATTTGCTTCATTTGTGGAAATAATATAAAAACCAGAAATGTATGTATTTTGGGCTTCAAGATTACAAGGTTCAATGTGTCATTTTCATGAAATTGATAGACTATAGGTCTTCTCACATTTATTAAATATATATAGTCCAAAAATTACACAGGCCTGCAATTATGTTATATTCTTGATATTTTTACAGTTCTACAGTAATTCCTGTACACTGAATCTGAAAATATAAATTTTCCTTCATCATGTACAGATTTTTCACAAAACGTCATGTACTTTTACATAAGTGAATCATTTTCATTGAAACTGGGTCACATTTTGTTGTGCTTAAAATGTTGGCAACCACTGGCTATAGATTACTGTAGACCAATCTCGACATGAAAATCTTATCGATCCTTCTAAAACCCACGTGAAACACACATAATTATAATAATAAATGTTCATTGTGGTAAATGAAATAATAGTTTGATCTAAGTAAAAGTTTTTTTTTTCTTCCTGATTTGTAAAACATCTTTGCGTGATAGAAAAAAGTGAATATTATTTTCAAAATCTATGGAAAATCTGTTATTAAACCAAAACAACTTTCATGAAGTTTAAATTTGCAGGCCTGTGTTATTATAGAGTGAAAGGACAGAAAAGTATAACTTGATAATCTATCAAAAATGCTTTCTACGTGTAGTTTGTTGATCCAAAGATGAGTATGTTTTAGTGCACTTTACTTGCCTTCTGAAGTAATAGTGTAATACAGTAGTTTGGAAAAGCTATATACTCACCTTGATCTAATCAGCAATATTCGACAGTTCCCAGTGATGCCACTCTGAGATTAATGAGGAAGCGGGAACAAGAATTAAGACATTCCCAAAGTTCTCGGCAAGCAATATCATTTAAGCAGATTCGTTGTGAAGCCACCAGATTAATCCAGCTTCAAGTTGTTCGTGAATTTGGCCTTCCTGATTCAGTTGTGGAGGTTCTGCACCGACCTGTTTATTTGTTTGTAGAGGAGCTGAATGATGGTGATAGACTTGCAACATGTCCAGTGCACCAGGATCGTATCCGTCATGATGGCAATGCTAGTCCACACGTTAGTGGCTACAACTCCCGGGAGACTCAGTGGAGTTATCAGGTGAAATTAGTTAAAATAAAAATAAATAAACTGATATTTCTCTCCCTAAAAATCTTGATAAAAATTCTGGGGTATTAAGTTTATTCACCATTTTTTGAAATAACTATATTTTCATCTTTTATCATGTAGTGCAACTCTTAAACCACAAATTGAGTTAGTATGAAATTAAATTTTATGTTAACTGTTTCTGGGATCGTATAATAATTAGTTTCTATATACTGTTAAAATATGTTGAACAACACAGTTTGGTAATAGAAGGTATATGTGTGTGTAAGTTTCTAAACTTGTATGCTTCAGGGTTTTAGCTGCTTCGATAGGTTAAACATTTTATCTGTAATTGAAAAAATTTTTATGATAGTGGTCACAGAAGTTATATGCAAAAAGACAGTGTTATAGGCATAACTTTGAAATTGCTTGTCTCATTTTTTTTCTGTACACTAGTGTCAGTGTAGTTGTTAAAGAAAAGATATAATTATAAGAAGAAATTTGTTTTTAATTGACCAAAACTTTATTAATTTCTTATCTGAGAAGGGACTGCAAATTCAGAAACTTGTCTTGTGTTTTTTTTTTAGTAAGACTGTTCTTTCAGAGAAATAAATAACATTTTTTGAAAGTGTGAGAGTTTGTAGGAAATGGGGTCTTTGCCCATATTTTGTATAAAATATATTTTATTACACACAGAGTGGCCAACTAATCACTCATAAACCTATTTTGCTTTGCATGTTTGTAGAAACTATTAATATCAAAATAAAGTGTGATGGAAAACTTAAATTTCTGAAAAGTATTTCAGTTATTAAAACTTAATTTCTGGTTGTCTGTTTTTAATGTGCATGTATTTTTTCCAGGCTACGGGTAGAGACATGACAAGTCATCTCCATCGTACCATTCCAGATATTGCTATGGCAACAACAGCAATGGGCAAGATGCACATAACAGAAAACAGTCCTGATGTACAGTCTTGAGGGTAGATTTCTGTTTAAGTGTGAAATGTCTGTTCTTTGGTTGAAAATTCTCCACAGCTAAATGTAGTTTTTTTTATATTCTGTATAGTCTTAAATGTGCAGAGAGATATAGTTTGTAAAGCTAGGTGTTTGTTACAGCTGAACTAATTTTATACATTTTCATGATCTGTAAAACTAAAAGAACTTGGCTGTAAGTTGTTTTTTGTCAAAATATGTTTTGTGAAATTTAATTGAGATTTTGCAAATACACAACTGAAATGTATGGAGTAGAAGATGATTTGGCACACTGCTGATTTGAATTTAACTAATCTCTTTATATCATCAGACTGGCATCAGGTTAATGGCTCCTTATGACACAAACATCTTGTAAGAGGTTTTGCTAACTCCTTTTATTTCCACTTCTCATGGATAAATTAGAAATGTTATTTAATTAATGGATAAACAGCTGACTTCTTTGTTGGCCAGTTTCCATGAGGTGTGAAGATCTCCATTTTTTCCTCTTTTACTTCATTCATGATGTGCAAGTTGGAATAATTAAGTGGACCAATTTTCACTAGATTTTAGATTTCTCATGCTTGATCATTACTTAAAAATAACTTACTTCACCTAAAGTTAGTTGAATCTTTTAGGTCTTTCACCTAGAAAACATTGTAATTTTTTTTTATATTGACAGCTTGTACTTACAAATGTGTTATTGTTAAGTCATGTATGGACTTGATATAGAAATGCTAAAGTTCAGCATTTCACTGTTTCTCATACTATATTGCATCTATCATTATTGAATACATGTAACATCTCTTTAATAACTTCTCAAAACCAAGTCGTGCCACATAACTACGTATATTTTTTCAGCTGGTGGAAGCCTGTTGATAACTTCCTTACAATGTAGTTAGTTTTGTATTTCATTAGTCTGTCATCAGAACTAAGGAAAAGCCCAGTTAATGCTCAACAAATGGTCATTTTGCAGGACATTATAGATGAAAGTCGAGAATTTGGTGATTTTTATACTATACTTTGTAATTTATTGAAAGCTTTATGGATATGTAATGTCAGTAAATTGTGTGTGCATATGCTGACATATGAAACTATCCTAATATAGGTAGTATATCCATGAGTTAAAAAAAATTAAAACATGCTTTTAGTTGAAGTAAAAAGCTGAGGAGATTCTTATAGATTTCAATGTTTTGCTTTAAGCTATTGAAAATCATATTGTAAGAATTATTAAAAAGTGGTTAGTTAGTATAAATGTTGTATGGTTATTACATAAAATATGTTTTCTAACTGTTAAATTTTAAAAGTACTTGTACATTTTGTAGTTAGGTTTTCACTTAATTATATTGTATATATGCCTTTGAAAAGAAGATAAAACCTTGCAATTGACCCTTTTACTATAGGTGGGTGGATTTCACCCAGCCCGTATCCCCCAAAGTAACTATAAACCAGTTATACTGTAACTTTTTAATATGTACGCATATGTTCATAAAATTTTGCAGATTATCAGTAAACAATATGAGGTTTTCATACACAAAATATAAGATTTTTAAATTAATGATTTTCTCAAGCATTTTTTCTTTTTGAATGGTAACTATCTAACATGCAATGTAATTTAGACTTACAGATTAAAAATACTTTTATATATCAAAACATTGTCAAATTTCACATGTGAGATCTTTATAACCTCCAGGTACTTATCAAATGTTCTTTGTTAGAAAAAACTATATTTTATCTCTGTATGGGTTTGGTTGATTTGACTAACCTCGTAACCACCACAGAAAATTAGGAAATAGATATAAAATTACACTTTTTTGTTCTAGAATGACTACACATTATAACATGAAACCACAAATGTTTAATTTAAATAGCTTAATTCTTATACCTTTATACACCTGTATATATTTATTATTTTTATTTTATTGACCTTTCAGCTGTGTCTGACTAGCATTACAGAAGTTTCAATGACAAGGTGCACATGCACTCATGTTACTGTATCCAATAGTATAAAACTGGCCTTTACAAAGTGCAACTGTCTTAGCTTTGTCCTAGTGGACCAATATTTTGTAGAATAGAATTATATTTCCATTACATTACATAAGTGTACATATTATTACTATTTACAAATAAATTCTTAAATTCAGTTATTTTCCTTAAAATATAGAACAATAAATAAAGAAATATAGAAAACAATGATCTCTTCTACTTATGAAGTTTGTACTTGCTTGCCGTAATTTGTTAAGCCTTATCAAATTTTGCATGTGGAGGATGTAAAGAAATTAATTTTTTTAGGTTTTATATATACATTTTGAAATAACAAAAAATCATGAATTACCATATCAATACCACAGAATTCCACTGTAATTTATCGGGCTTAGTAACTAAGCTGTATTTGGGTCTAAAAAATATGATATTTCGATCTCCATTATATTTTACCTCTCTGCTTTGATTCTACTGTGAAAAGGAAGGTTTTCCTGCATAAACACTTGCAAAAGCTGAGAAAACCACATGGGGGACATTCTGAACTTTTAACTGGTTATAAACACATCATTGAGTGAAGTAGGTGTATTTAAGCAAGTATTTCAAAAAATGTGAGAGGTGGGTGGGGCCACCTTGGTTGGTTCACTAAATATAATAATATCTAAAAAAAATAGAAACAAATGGAGGTTCTTATCTTATGCTCTAGCTTGTCAGTATTGGTAATTTTAGTTTCTAATTTGAAGAAACTATAGACTTTGTAATTTGACATCACAAACATCTCAATTGAACCAAAACTGCATTCAACATATCACATGACATACAAAAATCGATATTTAGGAATTATGTTTTAATGTTTCTTTTATTTTAAGAAATTAACTAATGTATAATACTAAAATTTTAATTATAATCAACAGTTTGATACCAAACTTATTGACATACATTTATAGAATAGTAGTTCAATAAAATTTTGAATGTAAGTCTACAAACGTGATGACATGCCCTCTGACCCCTACCCATAGTAAAAGGGGTAAATAATCACACATTAATTATTTTCCTGGTAGTTGAAAAATAAAGATAAATTCAGTAGTGTATAATGTTTTATTTGTTTAGTTAACAACCATTGTTGAAAGGCGTTGTGCCTGTGAAAGTCAATTTTTTTTTCATTTGTAAAATTAATTTTCCTGTGTTATGAGAATGAAATGATCACTTATTATTTACTAATTATTTACTTATTATATACTAATGTTTTGATGAAGAATGATAAATTTAAGATTCTTGCTTCCTGGTGGGTCACAAAAGCTTATAACTAAGAAAAACTAAGACATTTTTAGAGAAAATGAATACACCATTAAAAAAGAATGTTATTGCACTTTTTTATGATACATGATTCTGTATTTTAAAATAATTTCTTTGTTTTGCAAAATTTTATTTTCTGAAGTTCTTATATCTCTGCTGCTGTTCAACTGACTCAATAAAACAGTGAAATATCTTCTGATTAATTATTTCATGAAATTTGTTCCGAATGGCAGGAATTTCAAAGCAGTCTCAAAGCCTTATTTACTTAAAATAAAAGAATTGTAAAAGTTGTATATACATACTCATTATATAAAAAAAATATTTAAAGCAAGATTTCCAGAATTGAAGTTGCTATAATAACAATCCAAAAAACAGAAGACATTTATGTATTATTTTGTCTCTGGGCCTTATGTAACTGATAAAGTTTGAAAAACCCTTTTTTAAACTAGAATATGACAAGTCTAAACAAATCAACGCAAATAGCAAGTATTCTGACTTGGATAAACTATCACAGTGGTACTTAGATTTGTATTGTGTATTTTTAATTTATGCATAAGGTCTATTAAAGTTCATTTTATTTATGTGTTTGGAAACCCCTTTTATTGCTCTGTTAAAATGTATCATAGTACATTAAAATCATAATTAATTTAGCTAATTAATCACAAGGAAAAATTTCCTTTACAGTTGCAGACTGGTGTTAATTTGCTGAATAATATAACTAGAATTATCAAAAATAAAATTCATGATAAAAAAACCACCTAATGCAATTAGTTTCAGAGTTTTAATTACGGCAAACAACATTAGCCAAATCAGACCTTCATTTTGGAAACAAAAACCTTTTTTTTTAACCTAAGTAGAAACATCAGATAAGTGTCTGTTCAGTATTGTTGGGTTAAAGCAAGTACAATTTAATTACTAGGCGAGTTAAAAGTGAAAAACAGTGCTTAGAGGTAAATGAAAGTTTAGTGTTTTCAGTCAAATATATTTTCATCAATTGAAAACTTATTTATTTTTACTTTGTTGTCACATCAGTGATTTTATTCTACAGTTTAAAAGCAAGCAACTACTTGTAAGAAGATGTACTGTGGAGATGTGAAATAGTTACAACTATTAACATGAATTGATATTATGACGAGAATCCAGTAATTAGAAACATCTGTATTTTTGTTATATCACTCTCATATAACAGGATAAACATGAAATTGTTGAATTTTTGTAAAGTAATTTGAGGTATTTTTTGTGCAAACTTGAAAATTGTTCTGTTATAGTTTTAGGTCTTAATATTTTTTTTTTTGAAGTTGTATTTCGGGAACAAAACTTTTAATTTCACTACACCCAAATCATTCAGTGACTAATTATAAATTTGGTGTACTTCTGAACCAAGATTTTAAATAAACTTTAATTTTTTTTTCTAACAGATAAAAACTAGAAAGCATAAAGTAAGTTTTATTACGTTTTTGAAAAGCTTGAAATGTGTAATTTCAGCATGAATAATGGTTATGAAAGAATTTACAAAACATTATAGATCAATATTGTGGAAGCCAACCTGATGCCAGTGAAGTGTGGATTAAATCTATGCTGAGTTATAATATGGTTTATGTAGAGTTTGATCACTGAAACATATGTCTCAGGAAAAAAATCTTTATAAGAATGTGATAAGGAAATTTGATTATGTGAATTGATTAAGACTAATTGTTTAAAAAAAGAGATCACTGCCATTATGTGTTGGTAGAAAATGTTCCAAGTGTTTAGGTGTTTGTAGAAGTGAAGTGATTTTGCTGCAAAACATTTTCAGTGGATTTTATGGAAATTTGCTTGTTTTCAAAATACAAACTGATCATACATAATGTAGTAGAGATGATGTAGATTTAGCTGTAGTACATAACATGGTATGCATATGTTGAATTAAAATAGCCTGAAATGATTGGAATTAGCTGTTTTATTCTATCTTGCACATGTAAATAGCATATTTTTAATTTTTCCAGTAAAAGGTTCACCATACATTATGAAATGGGTATTTATTCTGTCCTTTTTTTCACAAAAGTGTGTACAGTTGTCATTATATATATATATATAAATAAATAAATAAATAGATAGATAGATATTGATAAATAGATGTAAGAAACTTGAAACAATGAAAACAATGTATTATATTTTGCTCCGATCATTTGTTTACTGCAAAAAAGTCGATTTTTGTTGCATTTAGTGAATGAAGTAACATGAACACTTGATGGACTGAAAAGCATTTTTGGTGTAAAGTTTTAATTGTTGGTTTTATATGTATTATTAAAGATGACTGGTTTTGGGAGTTTCTTTATAATTAGCATGTTTCGCTTCTGTATATTGCATTTGGTGTTAGATCAATTAGGAATCATGATATCCTATGTAATTATTTATGCTTGATATTCAAAACATCATCATGTATATTTTAATAAACTTATTTTCAAGGAAATAATGAAATAAGCATGAAAAGAATATGGTTTTTTAACTTGTTCACTGCCAACTTTTCTTATTAATTGCTATGGCTGCAGTCCAGCCATTTTTGTGATGA